GCTACAAAAATAAATAAATAAATAAATAAAAATTATCTGGGTGTGGTGGCACACACCGGAAGTCCTATCTACTAAGGAGGCTGAGGTGGGAGGATTGCTTGAGCCCAGGAGGTTGAGGCTGCAGTAACCCAAGATCTCACCACTGCACCCCAGCCTGGGCAACACAGTGGGACCCTGTCTCAAACAAACAAAAAATAGTGCTTATCTCTGGAAAGTGGGGTTGGAGGGAGAACTATCATTCTTACTTAATGTATGTCTATGCTTTTGTAACTTTTTAAAAAAGACCTTATACAGTTCTCAACCTTAAACAACAGAAAACTATCCATTATGGTGATAGACTCTTAAGAGTCCCAGACACAACCTAAATGATGAAGGTGCAGAAATCAAGCTGTACCAAAATATACTTAGAAAATCTGTGTGTCCGAGCACAGCAGCAACCTCAGGTCACTCAGCCAGCTGCCTACCAGCTACCACCCCAAACCCAGGTCTTCTGGTTCCAAGTCCAGTGCTCTTTCTGGTACATCAGGCACTTTTCCGCCAACCATGAGAATATTCACTTGTCAGATTTGGGGAAGTTTCTTCCAACTGCCAGAATAAAAATGAGAGTGGAAAGTAACTTGAACACCAGCCTTCCTTCATGGCCAGCTTGCTAAAAGTTGGTTGCCGAAGGTCCATGAAGGCACAACTAGGTGACATGCTGCCCTTATGACAGCAGTGCCAGCCATGGATGCAAGCAAACAGTGAGCAAAAACATACCATGCTCTTAAAACTGAACTAGCTAGTATGAAATAATTTTTCTATTAGAATTGGGTTACATAATTAAATAGCATAAATTATCCCCAAAGTTAGTGAATTGGTCCCAATCAGATGAGATTTTTGAGATTGAGTCTCGCTCTGTTGCCCAGGCTGGAGTGCAGTGGCACGAGCTCAGCTCACTGCAACTTCCACCTCCCAGGTTCAAGTGATCCTCCTGCCTCAGCCCCCTAGTAGCTGGGATTACAGGCACGTGCCACCATGCCTGGCTAATTTTTGTATTTTTACTAGAGATGGGGTTTTGCCATGTTGGCCAGGCTGGTCTCAAACTGCTGACCTCAGGTGATCCACCTGCCTTGGCCTCCCAAAGTGCTGGGATTACAGGCATGAGCACCGCACCTAGCCTGAGATTCTCTTCCTTAAGAGATTAACATGCTCCTTTTACATTCTACAACCACCCCAAGTTGCTTTTCACTTCAGCCATTATAGATTTTCCCTATCTTCCTCCTGCTCCTGCATTTCTTCAAACCATCCCACATAATAATCTAGCATTAGAAAAGGGAAACATTCTTTGGCACTTTAATAACTTTTCTAAGGTTCATACAAATTTAACAATAACAGGATACTGACCCCAACCCTCCCTCCAAACAATGAAAAAGAACTCAGATGAAAGATCCAAATTCCAAAAAAAATCTAATGTCGGTCTCAAGCAGAATGACATGATCAGTGCCACCCAGTACACTGAAGCCTGAGGGTGATGAAGTTGGTGCTCTGAAATGATCACGGATCAAGGGTTTTTTTCCACCTCCAACTTCTCCTTTTCCTTTTGTACCTAGATGAGATGGTTCTTCCTAGAAGACCTTCTGAGGTTTGTGACATTGAAGCAGTCATAAAGGTAAATGTGAGCACACTGATGGTTATCAAGGTAAGAACATGAGTTTCAAAAAAAGAAAAAAAAAAAAGTAGCAGTGGCAGGGGAGAATCACTACTGCCTTGTTTCCAGCAATCAGCAAGAAACTAATTTAGGGCTAGAGGCATCTTGGTGAGCAGCAGCCCCTTATCATACAACATGGTTGCCAAGGAAAGCTGGTCCTCCACACTGTCACAGGGCAGGTCCCCCACTCTCACAAACTCTGGGTAAGAACGAAGCAACAGTTCCATGGCATCAGCTTGCTGGGGGTATATTTCCAAGCATTTGGGTTCTTCCAGATGATACACACGGGAGTTTTCCACTGTGTAATAGAGAAACAAATGGCCCCCCTCACCCACCAGCCGAGCTATCCCATCCTGAAGCATGTGGACTTCTGTTTCTGTTGTCAACTGGGCCCCCACATTTACAGGTTCTCCAGCCTCCCAGCGAATTGGAAGCCCGTAAACACTTAGTGCCCTCTCCCTATCAGTCAAAACAGGGGGCAGAGAATCGTGGATGAAGTCTTTGGCTCTCTGGTCGGCCACAGCATCGACAGGAGCAAAGTGTCCCAGGCGGGCAACCAAGACCCGCACCTTCTCCATGAAAGCGGTTCTTCGCGGATCCTTAGAATCTGAATGCTGGGCCCCCATGTAATCCATGAAGTCTCGGGGCAGACCCCTCCGAAACTCCACATTTTCTTCCATTGCAGCCTGCACGGCCAGAGGCAGTATGGCCTCTAAGAAGTCACCCCAGGTATTGCGCTGGTACGTGGACAAGGTGAGGTGCAGAGAGTGGACTCCATCCTGACATTCAGCTTGGTGAATGAAGCCCCGAGGAAAATACAGCAAATCTCCAGGTTCCAGCACGGTCTGCAGCACCGGCTCACCGAGGTCATCCTGACTGAAGTTGGGGCTGGATGTCAGAGCCAGTTCCTCGGTTGGGACTCGGGGTCGGTATACACGCCAGAGTTTCCTACCTTCCAGCTGCAACACGAAGGCCTCGATGTCGTCGTAGTGGGGGGCAAAGCCCTGCGAGTTAGGTGGCGTGAGGTAAACGTTGGAGCCTGCCATGCTTCCAAACTGCTCTTGAAGCACAGCCAAAAACTGCCACACAGTGGTAGAGAAAGCCTGCGGACAGAGGAGGCGCAGGGAGCAGCCGGCCTGGTACAGGGACCACGCGGCGGCGGGC